GCCACTTCCGGCTTTATTCTTTTTTGTTTATGTGGTGCTGAGGAATCGAACCCAGGGCCTCATGCATGTAAGGCAAGTGCTCTACCACTGAGCCACCTTCCCAGCCCCCACTTCTGATTTTCTGATGGTTAATTGGAGATAAGAGTCTCATGGACTTTCCTACCAGAGCTGGCCTCAAACAGTGGTCCTCAGATCTCAGCTTCCTGAGTAGTTAGGATCACAAGCATCAGCCATCAGTGCCTAGCTATGGCGGGTTTTGAAGTGGCACCAGACCACTTTCTGTGGTCATTTTCATTTCTGTGGATTTCGTTTTCCCTTTCCCTCATGACTCCTTTAAGGTCCACAAGGAATGTGGGAAGGAAAGCTGAGGTGTTTGCATTTCATGTCACCGTCCCTTCCTATGTTTCTGTCCCTGTTTCTGTTCAGACAGCCAGAGCTTACAATTAGCCAGACCCAGAAGTTAGGGGTGAGCCTAGAGACCAGAAATGGCATTCTGGACTGTCTACCAGGGCTGAGCTCTGCATGACTTGATTGTCACTCTCCACTTGGGAAATACCTATTTAGTCCTTATAACTCATGATACTCTACCAGGATCTCCATTTTGGAGATGCCAAGTGTGCACAAACATGCCCAGTTTATTGGTTAAAATGGCTGGGCGCTGGTGGTTATAATCCTAGCTACTCAGGAGGCTGTGATCTGAGGATCTCACTTCAAAGCCAGCCCAGTCGGGAAAGTCCATTAGACTCCTATCTCCAATAAACCACTTAGAAAACTGGAAGTGGGGTTGTTGCTCAAGTGGTAGAGCCCTAACCTTGAGCTGAAGAGCTGAGGGACAGTGCCCAGGCCCCAACTCACTGACTTTTGTGAGTTGGCCTTAAATGGCTACCATCCTTATCTGTGCTTCCTGAGTAGTAGGGATTACAGGTGGAAGTCATTGCACTTCATCTACCACCTGCTTTAGGTGTCTGATCTTCTATGGTGAGGAGCATACCGGGTCTGTACATGGAATTTCTGCTCTTCCCTGTCCCCTCAGACTCATGGCCTGCTGATTAACAATGACCCACTCTCTGCAGGCTCAGGGAAGAATCTATGGCAAACTCAAAGAGGAAAACTTCTTTGGTCCCAAGGAGGAAGTAAAACTGGAGACCCACATCCGGGTCCCAGCCTCAGCTGCTGGCCGAGTCATTGGCAAAGGCGGCAAAACGGTGAGGCCTGAGGGCCGGGGGGAAGTTACCTATAGCTTTGCACTGGCCTCTGCTTTCCTGCCCTATTCAACTTCACACTCCCTGCTTGCCACGACTTAATTCTACCAGTGCCAACAAGTCGCCCCTTCCTGCCCATCTCTCCACTTCCACCATGCCTTTTGCTTGCTTGGTTGCATTGTGGGTTAAACCCAGGGCCCTGTGCATGCTAGGCCAGTTCTCTAACACTGAGTTACACCCCTCCCCCTGCCCCCATTCCCTCTCATGCTTTCTTGGTCACACCCTGAGCTCCTTTCTGGCTGCCTCACCCCTAGGTGAATGAATTGCAGAATTTAACAGCTGCTGAGGTGGTAGTGCCAAGAGACCAGACCCCGGATGAGAATGACCAAGTCATCGTAAAGATCAGTGGGCACTTCTACGCCAGCCAGGTATGTATAGCACTTTCTCCCTCTCAGTAGGCTTTCAGGACCCAGATACAGAAAGGCAAAGATTCCAGAAGTTGCTGGGTATGACCTAGACAGATCCTTGAGTTATACCCCCAATTCTTGCAGCTGACTTCTCTTATGGATCATTATTCTTTTTTTGAGAGGGTACTGGGGTTCGAACTTGTGGTCTTGTATTTGCTAGGCAAGCACACAAAACTGTTGGTTTTTTGTTTTTTTTTTTTGGTCCGGTCGTGGGGCCTGAACTCTGGGCCTGGGCGCTGTCCCTCAGCTCTTCAGCTCAAGGCTAGAGCTCTACCACTTGAGCCACAGTGCCACTTCCAGCTTTTTTCTTTTTGCTTATGTGGTGCTGAGGAATCAAATCCAGGGCCTCATGCATGCAAGGCAAGAGCTCTACCACTGAGCCACCTTCCCAGCCCCACAAAACTATTCTTAAGCTGGGCATAATAGCACAAGCCTGTAATCTGAAGCACTTGGAAGACTGACACGGAGACTCTCTCTCTCTCTCTCTCTCTCTCTCTTTTTTTTTAACCAGTATTGGGGCTTGAACTCAGGGCCAGAGTACTGTCTCTTAGCTTATTCCATTCCAGGTTGGTATGCTATCACTTGAACCACAACTGCACTTCCAGCTTTATGATGACGAATTTGAGCTAGAGTCTCAGACTTTCCTGCCTGGCTGGCTTCTAACTGTGATCCTCAGATCTCAGCTTCCCTGAGTAGCTAGGATTACAGGGGTGAGGCACTAGCATCCAATATGAGACATTGTCTCAAAATAGAACAAGTTTTTTCTTAATCTAAGGGAAGGAAAGCATAAGGACACTGCTCCTTTGGTATTTCATCTTTGTCACTATAGCTAGAGCTCATCATTTTACCTTTTTGCTAAGTCGCATGTGGATATCTTACTCCCTTTTCCTGAGTATTTACCAGAATAGTTGTTTATTATTTCAGAACAGCATGGACACTGGCTACATATAACTCTTATCTTAGAGCTCCAAGAGTACCATTTCAGGTTCATTAAGTATTATGACAAAGTGATAGCTCTGTCAGTGTTTAAACTCTGTTAAACAAGTTTATTCTCTTTCTCCTCCCTTCCTACCCCTCTCCTTTTATTCACCTTATTTCCCAGTGGATGACCTGGAAGTCCCCTTGTCTCCCACTCTCCCTCTTTCCTGAATTCTGAGTCTTGAGATACTAGTCCTGTTGTTGCCAGTTTCCCACGCCTGTCTCCCCCAGAGGTCTTACCTCGACCCCCTTGCCTGTTCTTGCTTCAGATGGCCCAGCGGAAGATTCGAGATATACTGGCCCAGGTTAAGCAGCAGCACCAGAAGGGACAGAGCAACCAGGCCCAGGCACGGAGGAAGTGACCAGCTCCTTCCCATCCCATTGACTCCAGGACAACGGGCAGAATTGGAGAATGTGCTCTTCCAGCAGGCCTGAGAATGAGTGGGAATCAGGGTCCCTGGGCTAGGCTGGAGATCAGGTTTGCCCACTGTCTTGAAAAAGATGTCTCAGTGAGGAACCCTGATCTCCCAATCACAAACACCAGGCCAATTAATTGATCAACCACACAGCCTACCCCTCAGAACACCATGACATTGCAAAGTTCAGGGTGCTTTTAAACGTGGATTGTTTAAGAAAGTTGTCCAGCCCCCACCAAGAGGGTGGGACAAACCCCAGTGGGGAAGAGAAATAAAATTTCCTTCAGGTTTATAAAAACCTCAAAGGATGGTTTGTTTCTTGACCTTAAAAAAAAATCATCTTTCCATCTGTCATCTCCCTTCCTGGTTTAATTGATGAAATTTCCTCCATTCTCAGTGTCCCATGCTACACCTCATTTTATATTCATACTGTTAGAAGAAAGCAAAAGAAAAAATGGCTACCAAGGCATTTCTTTGCTTAGAGTACTGACTGTGGAGAAGATCTGTGTCATCATTGGAAGGACAATTGCCTCTCTAGACAATAGGAATAGCAAGAAATAAAGAAGGAGGAGAAATGGGGGAGAAAGATGATTAAAATATTTACGAATCCACGTTTAAAAGGAGTATCCTTGGGCTGAGGATGTACCTCAGTGGTAGAGCGCTTGCCTAGCAAGTGTTTGGGACCCTGGGTTCAATCCTCAGTACCACACACAAAGAAGAAAAACCCAGAATTCGTATCCTATGGCTGATCTATTTATTTCAGTCGCTATCTTGAAAAATTGACACAATTGTAAAGATTCCCAGTCTGCTGGGGCTTCCCCAAGATCATGCCCTCTGACCCCAACATCATGTCCCCCGGTGTGCATGGTATGTGCATGGGTAGTACCCAATGCTCGGCAGGGTAGGGGCTGACCACTCTCCCTGATTCCCATTGTTCTCAGGCGGATTTTATATTTTTTTAAAGTCTATTTTAATGATTGGATATGAGCACTGGGAAGGGGACATGAACTCCCCTTGATAAAGCATCAGCTCCATGGAGGACTTGAGTGGCCCTAAGGTGCCCTCACCCCAGCCTGTGTGCTCTCCCCTAAGGGCTGGCTCCCAGAGGTTAAGAGGTTGCAAGGCATTGCTCACCATGGCCTTTGTTTCTTTGGTAGTGGTGGGACTTGGAACCCAGCTTCCGAGCTTCTGATTGGCTCAAGTCCGTCGTCATCTGGCAAACGCAATACAGGGGAGAATATTTGCTTCTGTTTCTTATTCTAGAGGAGTATTTAAATGATGGCTTCTGCCTCTATGAATAATTATTGTCCATGATGAGAAGGTATGCCTACCGACAAAATTCAGACTACCAGCAGCATTTTATGCACAAAGGGGTAAACAAGCTTAATTTATTGATTTACCAGGCTCTGTAAGATCCCGTTGGAAGTTTAGCCCTTGTGGAGGCCAGTGGTCATCAGTTGCAGGAGGCTAGGCCTCCCTCCTAATGCCATACTGATGGTTAATGCATTTTAGCCGGGTGATGCACTTTAGCTACCCTGGACAATACAATGAAGTGTGCTGGGAAGGGAGGAAAGGCTCATTCTGCATGCGGAAGAGCGCAGGCCTAGAGTCTCCTCCCACCCCCCACATTGCAACAACTGACACCTGAACAACCTTGACGTGTGATGTGTGTGTGGGCGGAGTCAGGCAATGCTGTGTGCGAAGTAAACTACCTCAAGGTATGAAGTTACCTCAGCAATTATTTTCCTTTTTTTTTTTTTTGTTCCCCATCCCTTCCCCCCTTAAAAATTTTTTTGATCTTTTTTTTTTTCTTTGCGGCTTGCTGATATTTTATATAAAAAAGAAAAGAAAAGCAAAAGAGAAGCTGATAGTCTTGAATATTTTATTTTTTTAATGAAAAGGAAAAAAATGAAGAAAGTTATGTTTCATAATTTCTTACAAACATGAGCCAGTAAACCCTTTTAGGAACTCCCTATGGAGAACAGGCCCTGGTGGGAAGGGTAGCAGGGCTGGGCCCTGGAGGAGGAAGAGGGAAGGCCCAGGTTTGAAAACACCTTCCCTTCCAGGGACAGAGCCCAGAGCCTTATGGGACTCTTAAGTCTTTGACCTTGGGAATGCCTGTTGTACTATCTGGACTTTTCCTTCCTGATGGTCCAGATCAAAAGATCCCAGCAGAGAGCCCCTGGGTTATGGGATGAGCAAAAGTATAGGGTCTCAGCAACTAACCAACTCGTGGGCTCTCTCTGTTCCTCCTTCAGTTAAACAGCAGTCCACAGCTGTTCCCACCAGCGGTACTGTTGTGATATTTTAAAATATTGCCTCCGTTTTATCGAGGAGAGATAATAACTAAAAAAGAATATACCCTTTTAAGAATCTCTATATTTCTTTGTCTAAAACTATGGGAGCCAAGATTCCATTCACGGCAGAAAGACGGCTGCCCCCTCCCACCCTCAGAGAGGCCTGCCTGGTTTGTCATTGCAATACCTTTTGTTTTCATTTTTTGGTTATTGTTTCGTTTCCATACCATCTTGCTATTCTTCTTAGTCTACATGCATAGACCAAGGGGGATAACTGTACCCTTCCCTCCCTCCCTGTCTTCTTTAGATGGATTGATCGGATTGATTCTAAAAGTGGATTCATGGTTAGGAATTTTTTTTTTTTTAATAATTATTTAGGTTGGGTGGGCAGCCAGGGAGGAACAGGAGAAATGATGAAGTGTTTTAGGACTATTTCCTGTCTTGGCCTTACCACTTTGTCCCCATGACACCCCTCCAATAGCCTCTAGAACTGTCTAGCCCAAAGAAAGGAAAAGCAAGAAAGCATTTAGGGATAATTATCAGGCCAATTGGAATGGATCCTCCCATCCCTGCCAACCACAAAAAAAGGGTCTCCCACCTTTCCATCTCTGGCTCTATATGCTTTGTTCCAAAATGAAGCAGGTAATGTTCAGACATCGGCCATTTAGTGATTTTTTTAAAGTGGATTTCCAGCAGCAAGCATGCTTTGATATCTCTGGTTCAAATGATCATTAGGAAAGAAAAAAGAAAAAAAAAATCCCACAGTACCTGAAATGTGATTGTTGCAGTGTTCAGTTCCTTGGGGGTCTACTCCCTTCACACCTTAAACCTGAGTCCTTTTCCTTTGGCTGATTTAGCTCCCAAAAGAGATCAGGAAGTATGGCAAGGGACTGGAAAACTTAACTTGGCTTAGTCAAGGTGCTAGTCATCTGTGATACTTGCCTAGCAGGAAGAAATGTAGAAGTGAGGCTACCGGAAAGCAAAGGAGTGTAGTTTGGTGGTTAAGGGTTAGTGGGAGGAGGGACCTGTCTTGGTTGGACCTCCTATGACCCAAAGGCCAAGTCAACACCTCCTTACCCAGTCTTTGGTGAGGTTCACAAGCTATTGTGAAAAGCACTTGGGAGATAGGACGATTTTAAGAAAAATGACTTAAAAAAAACCTTCTGTGCTCTGAGATTATATATATGTGTGTGGATGTGCAACATATATATTTTTATGAAAGGACCATCTCTTTCTTTAGGATCTATTTTTAAATTCTTGAAATACATTTAAAAAACAACCAAATGGTTTGGTTCACTGACTTACTTTGAAGTTGCATCTGCCATGCCAGTTACACCCCAATGGCTTTAAATCCCCTCTGGGGTTCCATTACCTTTTGCAGGTAGGGTTGTAGACTCAGTTCTTGGGGAGGCATCTGGGAAGGAGAGAGCCATTTTTCAGGATAGGGAGTCATATCACCTTTCTTCTCTTTCCTCTTTTCCCAGTCCTTCTCAATCTTTCCTTTTTTCCTCAGCTCTCCACTCCTGGAAGGGAGTGGGGGGAGTTGGGAGCTGTTCTTTTATTTATAAAATGTCTCACTGTTGGCCAAAAGAAAAGAGAGAGAGAGAGAAAAAAAAAAAGACCCCACTTAAAAACCTAGAGGACACTGGAGGAAGATGCTCCAGTTGGTTCTGTGTCCGTTTTCCTCTGTGCCAAAGACAGACAGAGAGAGAGGCTGTTTCTGAGTCAAAGCAGTGGCCATCTTTCAACATCTCCCTGGGCCGACCATGATGGGGAAAGAGCCCAGAGACAGTGTGAGCTAAAGACAGGTCCCTTCCCTTCTGAGGCTCCTGGGGGACTTGGGAATGGTGCTTGCCAAGGGGTAGGGAGCTGAGCAAGGGGGTCCTTTGGCTTCTGATTGCACTTTGGGGAGGGAGGGGATGTTTGGGCCTCCTCCCTGTGGGAGTGCTCTTATCCCCAGTCCCCACTGCAGAGATAGCACGGTGGAGTTCCCTTCAGGCCTGGCAGAGTGGCAGTGAGGAGGGGTCTCAGTTAGCTCTCAAGGGTGCCTTCCCCTCCTCCTACCCCAGACATTACCCCCCGGCCCCCTGCCATATTGGGAACCAGCAGTGCTACTAACTACCTCAGAGCCCAAGAGGGTGCCTAGCCTTCCTATGTCCCCAAAGGAGCTGGCCCCTCTAGGCAACCCTTGCCTTCCTTCCACCTCCTCAGGTGGGATCTCCTCCTTTCTATTCCCTGAAAGGTTTGTGGGGAGATCCTAATGGCTGCCATTCAAACCACAAGACTGTGTTGCCTGTTTTGTTTGTTGAAAACCAGTCAAAAGAAAACAGCACAGCCTGATTAAATATAACTGCAAAAAGATAGAAGAAAAAAAAATCCTCATCAAATGCCAGGGGACATAGAAGCCATTTTCCTTCCAGATATCGATGGTTTAGATGCAGAACTTGTATACAGATGTAGAGTACCACCAGCTGAAACTTCTGTTTCTTTCTTTTGGACATTTCTCCATGGGGGGTACAGACTGGGGAGAGGCCTCATGACTGAAGGGGACTGAGCCAATGGGGCAAGAGCCCCAACTTGTTCTTCAGCCCCGTAGATAGACCTCCTTGGGTATGGTCTGATGGCGCCATTACTGACGCCCTAGTATGA